GATATATTCTGCAATAAAGTGTCTATAAAACCCTATTCTACAAAGTTTGAAGACTTCATATCTGAAAGGAGTGATGATATGGTTTGGACACATTTTACTGTGAAATTATGAAGGATGATAGGTAACTGCAAAATCTATAGTCTATTATCAAAATTTCTCTTTTTTCTAACATAGGAATGGTTTCTCAGTTAACAAATCACTGTTGAGTAAAATCTTAAGGAAGAAACTGTAGTTTCTCAATGCTTAGTTTATGATAGGATCCATTTTGCAAGTGGTATTGATCAAATAAATATAGACCAAAAAATGTTGTTAACAGTCAGAGGATCTAGACAGTGATATATTGCATCTCTGCAATAGAAAAAAGATATTCAGAAGCAGCAGACATTGAAGGCTGAAGAAAAAAGAAAACTTGCACAACATAAGGATTTAAAATAACACAAGAAAATGTTAAGAAAAGATCACGAAAAGGAAGAAAAAGAGATTGAAATGAAAATAAATACACTTGAGGAGAAAAAGCTAAAACTACATTAATTTAATATAATAGTTCTTGTGTTTTGTGAATTGTAATTAATTTTGTTTTTTTAATTATTTGTATTTTGAAAAAAGAGGATTAATAATACAGGTATACCTCGAGTTACGTCATTCTCTATTATACGTCATTTGTCAAAAAGTATGTGGAAAAATAAAAATCAAGTTTAAGTCATTTTATTCGACTTTATGTCTGTCTGCCACAAATATTGAAATTGTATAAGGACCTTGAATAAGTTCTCGCTGTTTTTTTGTGAAAATTAACACTTTATTTAAAAAAAGTCGTAATAAACATGTCACTGAAAGTATTGTTCATCACTAGCTACTACTTTCTCCCATCGTTCTGGCAGCATTTGAATTCCATGTCGGAAAAACGACACGTTTTTTGAGGCTATCCAAGAATCAACCCATTTTTTGGCATCTTCATAAGAACGAAAGTGCTGCTCAGCCAGGCCATGTGACATCGATCGGAACAAGTGATAATCGGAAGGGGCGATGTCTGGTGAATATGGCGGGTGGGGTAGGACTTCCCATTTAAGCGTTTCCAAGTACGTTTTCACCGGTTGTGCAACATGTGGCCGAGCATTGTCATGTTGCAAAATCACTTTGTCGTGTCTCTGCTCATATAGTGGCCGTTTTTCCTTCAATGCTTGGCTCAAACGCATCAATTGTAGTCGATAGCGATCTCCCGTGATAGTTTAGTTTAGTTTGAGCAGCTCGTAATAAACTACACCTAGCTGATCCCACCAAATGCAGAGCAGAAGCTTCGAACCATGGATATTCGGCCTTGCTGACGATGTTGATGCATGACCGGGCTTACCCCACGATTTTCTACGCTTAGGGTTATCGTAGTGTATCCATTTTTCATCACCCATCACGATACGATGCAGAAAACCTTTCCTTTTCTGCCGTTGAAGCAGCTGTTCACATGTGAAAAGACGGCGTTCGACATCTCTCGGCTTCAACTCCTACGGCACCCAATGTCCTTGCTTTTGAATCATTCCTAATCCTTTTAAACATTTCGAAACTGTTGTGTGATCAACTCCTAATGATTCTGCAAGTTCAGCTAGCGTCTGACATGAGTCTTCATGAAGTAATGCCTCTAATTCCTTGTCTTCAAACTTTTTTGGTGCACCAGATCGTTCTTTATCTTCAACATCAAAATCATTATTTTTGAAGCGTCTAAACCAATCTCTGCATGTTGTTTCCGACAGAGCATGGTCGCCGTAAGTCTCAACAAGAATTCTGTGTGCTTCTGCTGCAGATTTTTTTTGAATAAAATAGTGCAATAAAATTCCCCGCAAATACTCTTTTTTTGGCACAAAACTAGACATGTTTAACACAATGAAAAAATAAGTTGTTTACACTTCGGTGAAATGACGTATACTGAATTTCAAGGTCACTTATTGTACTTCCTTACAGATGCGTCACCATCTAAAAATAAACACACGTGGTTCTGGTAACGCCATCTGTTGGAAAACAGCGAGAACTTATTCAAGGTCCTTATAATATCTTTAGAAGATTGTTAAAAGCACATAAAATCATATTAAAATACATACATTTACAGTAAATGTTAATATAATCACCATAAATTGTAGAGAACGAAATATGAAAACATCTGTGACTCTTTGTTGTCATCTTATTTAGTGGTCTTTAAGTGCTTAATATTGGCGTTTTCCATGGTAGTTCCAATATCTTGTTTGGCGTCGTTGCCAACGCCACTCATTATTGGTAAATTCAACATAAATTAGTTTAATTTTTACTATCATAAAATAATTTTAATAACTGTATTTGTTATTTAACCTTACAAAATCATCTTATTTTATAATGTCTTATAGCAAACCACATTCACAAATAAAGAGTTTGCAATGTACTGTAAACATGTATATTTACAAGTATGTACATACATGTATTCGTAAATTTAGATTACTTTTTTTCTGTACTATATTAAGAACTAAAATTTATTTGTTTGTAAGCTTAAAATAGATTCTTATTAATTATATATTATTAAAAATGCATTTATAAATAAAGTACATAACTGGGAATGGTTATTTGTGGTTTAGCCTAGTGACAAGTAAATTCGACTTACATCGTTTTTTGACTTAAATCACCTCTCCTGGAACCAATTACTGATGTAAGACGAGGTATACCTGTACTAAGAAGTTTCTCTGTATTTTGATTGTCCGTTTTGTAAAAAAATAAAAAAGTTCTACAATAAATTAGATGCATTTATTAGAGAAGCCGTAGTATAAACTTACACCTATCTCTCTTACATTAACTACATTATTTCAAAATTGCATAAAAATAGATTGTATATAATACAGTCTATTTTTACGCAATTTTGAAATAATGTGGTTGGCAAAAGAAAACTAATTCTTTTTTTACATGATTGATTTTTTTTTACGAGGAAAAAAAATGCTTTATTTGAAAATTTTTAAATTTAACTTTTTGTTAAAACTATGTTGCTATTTAAAAAGGAGTTACTCTTTTTGTTGAAAGATTGGTTTTAAAATTACATGTTTCTAAGTCAAGAGTTCATTTTAAGCACAGTACAGTACTATTTGTATATCAAAGAATACTGTTTGTTGATTTTATGCTACCTTGTATTTACTAGATTTACATGCAAATAATAATGATAAATGATGATAAAATAAAAAGCTCATGTTTTGTTTGTAAATTGCTTATTTTTTCATTACATTGAAGTTGTGGATTCTATCAAACATTTTTCTATGGGATGTATGTACTCTATTTTTTTTAATGTGGCAGTCTTTGAAACATATCAACTATGCAAAAAGAGGGATAGATGTACTCAATGTTCATGGTAAATAAAATGCTGTTTTATTATGTCAATACTCCACACTGTAAGAAATGTGAAGGTCAGGGAATTTGAACAAAGTTGGTCAGGGAAAGTCAGTGAATTCAAAACAAAAATTTGAGTAGGAACCCTGAATAGGGGGAAAGTGAAGGAAGTGATCAGTTTGGGTTTGCCAGACAGTTTGGAATACATCTTGCATATCCTTTTAATGGCAGAGTGAATGAAATTAGAATTTTTGCTAATAGTCTTATTTACTTACCTTAATACTATTAGTTGGTTATCATCATCACTATAGTTGAGTCCCAATGTTATTACAAGTAAGATTTTACTGTGTATACATGTACATATACACATAAAACTATATTATGTAGACAACATATAATGTGTGCCTGTCTGGAGAAATTTTGACTTAAAGTTTTTGATTAAAAAGAAAAAGTCAAAATCTTTTTCATTTTTTAAAATGTTTATGAAAACTTTAATGCTAAAGGAATCAACAAAGAAAAATTAGTTTTATGGAATTGTTTATATGAAAGGTTTAAACATCCAATAATTTCTCCATAAATGTGATAAATATTTACAGAAAACTTACTTTAGGCTGACAGAGAACTTTTTGATTTTTATTATAAAAGTTTTCTTAAGTTGTCTGTAAGAATAATTGCTGTTCGAAATTTAATTTTTATCGTTCTTATATCAGTACTAAATTTTGAATAGATATAATTTTGCCAAGTACCACTAGTTGCTTTTTTTTTTTTCTATTGTTAATGTAGTGTGGAAGCATTTTGTCCTGAAACATTTTACTGTAATTGTTTGATAAGTTTTATTTATGAAAACATGGAATTGCATTAAATTAATTTTATTTTAAATAGTTTTTTCATTTTTTAGCATGTATATTTTTCTCAAAAATAGTGCATATTTTAGTATTTTAACTCATTTCCTAGAAGTGACAAATATTTAATTCTTCTAGAAAGTGAGAAGAAATGAACATCATTGTATTGCCATAGTTACATTCCATACAGTAAAGGTACAGTTTTAACAAAGAAAAAAAAGGATAGACTAACCCTTGTCAGCTGAACTGTATCTAACTGTTAAGCTCAGACTATGGTTGATTTCTGAAACTATGGTTTGAGCTTACAATTTACAGCATTAATTGTTTTAGGATTTAGAAAATTTCATGTTACTCAGATTGATTATTCAAATTATTGGTATTCAAAAAAATTTATTTTTGATTTAGACAGAAATCTAGTTTATCATAGTATTCTATATATTAAATTATTCTGCTCCAGATTTTCTATCCATTTTAGACAGGTTTTATTGCAATAATTTAGTTAAAATGCATGTATTTTTGTTATATATTTATAAAGTCATTAGAAAAGAAAATAACACGTTAAAAAAATTCAAGAACCATGAAGAAAACTTAGAAAAAAATAACATTTTAAAAACAAATAATTTACATTCAATTTTAATTTTTGTATTTTTTTAAATGCTGTATTTTTTCTCAATTTGTTTTTTTTTATTTAAAATTTAACTCATTCTTGCCAATTGATTTGTTAATAAATTGAACATTATTGAAAAAAGTATTTTTGTTGCTATATACATGTGTGAGAATATTTTTGAATTTATTGTATTTAATATGAGGAAAAACTTTTTAATCTTCCAGACCATGTATTCTGATGTTTGATTCATTAGCTGGACCTAGTCGGTGGAGGATAGTTAGTACTTTGAGAGAGTAAGTAATCTATGAGTTTATTACATAAATTATTATTATTAAAATATTTGTTAAAAAGCTTAAATAGTAACTTGTTTTTGCTATATGTAAAAGTTGTTATGTTCCTAATTTCACTATAATACAATAAACATCTGTTAATAAAAATATATTTTTTTAATCTTTTTGAATAATCAATACATTACAGGCATACCTCGACTTACGTCGTTTTCCTGGAACCAATTACCGACGTAAGGCGAGGTATACCTGTATTTATTTTTTTACCTTTTGTAAGAAATCACATTTACGAATGTAATCAGGAGAAATACTTTTGCAATCTATAAGTACAAATTATGCCACTATGTGAAACTGCTCGGATTGCAGAAGTATAATATTATTAGTGAAATGTCTCAGAATTTTGTTTTAATTCTGTTTAAGAATGTAAACTTATATTAGAGGGTATAAACTTCCTCCTACATATTAAAATTATTTGAAATTTAACATACAGACAGAATATTTTTTTATGATAAAATATAACAGTTTATAAGTGGTAAAGTTTGAAACTTTAGAAGATATGTCATTAATACATCATAAAAATTTTTTAGTGTTGATTTTAAATTAAAATATAACAAATATAATTATTTTTATAATACATTTGAGTAGTGGTAAAATTCATCTGTTATATAAATTTACAACATAATGATAATTTTAAATATAGTTCACCTTAGTGAAGTACAAGGTGGTTAGAATTAAAATGGTGATACTCAGATATGCATGGAGTCAGCTATACTGAACCAAATTGAATAAAACTTGGTTGTGTACCAAGTTTTATTCAATTTGGTGCAATGCAAATCATGAGGAAGAGATTTATGGGGGAATTAATTGAAATTTTCATTACCAGAGGAAAATATGGCACTGCAAGGATAACAATGGACAAAATTTTATTAGAAGAATTAAATTACATTTTACATATTTACAGTAAGTGCTCAATGTAGGATCCTTCTGTTAACCAAATGTTGCAGTTGTAAACTGCATTATCAACAGCTTATAACATTTCAGGAGGAATCTGGGAGACAGGTCACACAGTGTTGGTCTTCAATGTCAACATGGATTGTGCATGTTCCTGATAAACACAATCTTTCAAATAACCCCAGAGCTAGAAATCACAGAGGTTGAGGTCCAGTGATTGGGTGACCATGCATTTGGGAAGTCTCCAAGAGACGTCATGTTTATTAGTGAAGTTGGCATGAATAATTGTCTTGAAACGAAGCACCGTATGAACAGTTGCTCCATCCTGCATTATAACAGTTGTGTTCGAACAATCACATTTTTTTAACACTGGCACAATATGCTGTTCCAGAATTTAATGTAATGTTTGCTTTTAATGATACACCTCACAAGATCTTGAGGTGTCACCTCTAAGAAAAAGGGGCCAAGAATGAAATTAGCATTGAATCCACACCATACTGTTAGTTATGCTGAATGTAATGGTTGTTGAACAGCATGAAGTTACACTGAATCTCATATGCAGCAGTTCTGGATGATGACTGTTCTTCCTAAGTGGAAATATGCATTGTCTGTCCATGGGATCTGTGATGGCCACTGCTCATTCACTTCTATTTGAGCATACAATGCAAAATCAAGGCATTGAGGTGACTCTGGCCATTTCAACTCTTGCATAAGTTGAATCTTGTATGGATGAAACTTTAAAATTGACCTCAAAATCATATGCACTGTTGACCAAGGAAGAGACAAATCCCAAGCTTTTGAAAGCACTTGCAGCTGTGTCAACTGCTGCAACAGCAACTTCATTAACCACTTCCAATGAATTCAGATTCCATCCTCTTCCTGGTAACATGCCAAGATCACTAGTTGTTTCAAGTTTTTTCATCATGTTTTCATCACATTTATTGACATGGGTCCTGTCCTTAAATCTTTTGTATGGCAACTGAAGCATCGGTGGCATTCTGGTAAAACAGTTTCACTAAAAGAGTGCATTCCTCCTTGTCTGTAAGCATGATGAACCAGGGTGAATGATTTCCCATAACATCCTTAATCATGTTTTTAAGAAAAAGCAAAGCATGGTTCTTCCAGTTTTGCATACATTTTTGACTGAATAGCACCACCTTTTCCCATGATGATAAAAATTTCAACTAATTTTTTCCCCTGTAAATCTATTCCCCGTGATCTACATTGTGTGTACACCAAGTTTCATTCAATTTGGTTCAGTAGAGTCTCATGTATGTGAGTATTATCAGTTTAATTCTAACCACTGTGTACTAGTACATATTAGTTCAGTTATTAAAATTTTTTACATAACAGACTTCAAATAGGAAAATATATAAATAAATAAATAAATAAATAAATAAATAAATAAATAAATAAATACAAGGCTTGTATCGATTCACTATTACTCTATTTTTCAGATTTCTCACTATTTACTACTATTTTTAAAAAAGCCTCACTCACTAATTTTGAGATCTGGGTATTACATTACATGAGTATATGCCATATTTTGGATACAATTATGACATGTTTATAATGTTTGTGACAAAATAGATTGGGTAATCATTAATGATGTATCCACCTTGAAAGAGTTCATTATGGCACCACCTATTGGCTAGACAAAGTATGTGGTGATGTGAGCAAAAGAAGTTACTAGAAGGACTAGTAATTTCCCACAAAGTCATCTTTGAGAGACAGCAGTGACTTTATTTAATAAATTTGGAAATGAGCCAAGAACTTCGTCAAACTTGCTTTATTTTTATGTCAAATTTTTGTTAAAATTTCAAAATATGAAAATACTGCCAAGATAATTCAATGGATAACATGTTTTGGATCAAGTAAATCTAAACAACAAAATTTATTAAGATTAATATCTATAATTAATTAATTTACATCAAAATTCAACACCAGCAGTTGATGTTTCAATTTGGGGAAAAAATTGATGTGGACTTTAATGCCATCTTTGAAGAGAATTATCTACTACATAGTTAGTCATGTGCACTGCTGTTGTTGGTTGTCGCATTGAGTTTCACACGGTGGTGACAGTGCAGCATTTATGTCAGTCTATTGACTCTGGTGTGAGTCAGTAAAAAATTTCCAGTGGTGGATGCACTTTAATCCACATATTTGCTACTTGCTGAGCAAACATTTGGCTAATTTGAAGTAGTGTGGACAGTTTTGAATTGAATTGGAAAATGACAAATGCCAAAGAATTGGACAAGAATTGGAAAATGATGAATGCCAAACGTTCGTCATTTTCCAATTCTTGTCAGTAAATTGTGCCAAATCAGAGGAGATGAATAGTTGTTTCCATGAATTATATTGTCCATCCACACTACTCAGCATTCAGCAAATAGCAAATTTGTGGATTTGGTTGTCAGTGTTTCTATTTTGGTCTTTTTAAAAGTAGATTTTATCTTTTATTTTTGAATTTAGTTTATTTTTTGATATGGTTTATAGTTTAAATATTTATTTTATTTTCTAGGTAGTTTTTTCTGATCTTTTTTCTTGCAATACAGTTTTATTGTGTTATTTTTTTTAAATTCCTTTCTTTTTCATATTCGTATTTTTCTGCTTTGCCAAATTATACCATCCACCATATTCTTCTTTTAGACTTTTTTCCATTGATAAATACAAATCACTCATAACTATAAAATTAGCAGCACAAATTATTGTTTGAGAATTGCCATTTTCAGATCTTGGATGAATATTTGTCATTTCCACAATGAATCAATGATCATCAAATAATCGAATGTGTGTACATGAACATGTGCATTCGATGAGTGACAAACAGTTTGGCAAAAGGCAAATGTTTGGAATTTGGGGAATAGCAAATGTGTGGATGTGCTCTAATGGTAGTCAGCAGTTGAGTGAATAGTGACAATGTACATTCAAAAATATTGTAACTAAATGGTTTATTGACCAATACAATTGCCAGATTGGGTGGCTTCTGACTGACTCGCCTACTGAATTTTCATTTTAGGCTATTTGCTACTTTTTGAGTTACAAACACTATACATCTGGTATTTTAGAATATTTTGGAAAAATATTTAGGGGAAGGGCGAGCAGGTTTAACTTTATGATGTTAAAAAAAACATAAAACAACATAATATAAAGCTTTTATTTTAATCAGTTTCGACAGAGATCTTAGATGGTTAAAAAATTGTGTAATTAAAAATAATTAATATTAAGCATAAAATCTGTTAGGAATCATGAAGTAAAAACGTCAAAAGTTCCATCTTGTCCTCACCCTGAAGGCAAGATGGAATATAGGATATCCCTACATTTTACAATTGACACATAAAAACATCCATCTTTTGTGTCTGTACATAGTTCATGTGCCCAACCACAACACACTGGACACTGTACCCAGTTTTCTATGGGCAGTTCCACATATGGTTCTCCACATAATACACAAAACCTTCATCCATTGCCATCTGCATAGTTTCTTCAGTCCAAGAACCTCTGTTGCTCTTTCTTATATACTTGTTCACCATCTAAAAACAATTAACATCCTCAATTAGTTAGATAAATTGAAAACAGAAATCAAAATAATTGCATGCAGGCAACATGGAAACTATTCCATCTTGCCCATATGCCCATTGCCAATAATAATATAAACGCTTTAAAAATCCTTGAATTTTTTTCCACTTTAATTAAATATCAATTCATGCAATCTATCCCTAATAGGTACTTTGTATAAAAACAAAATAGTAATACTTACTTTGTAGGTATAAATAGTAACACTGCAAAAGTCCAATGATTGCACAATAATCTGCTGTGAAATAAGAAATACTTGCACATGTCACTTGGTAGCGCCAACTGGTCTGAGTCACAGTTTGTAAATACAAGATATCCAGGTTTCTCTGTATGCATGGAGATTCGGGTGCTTCGTCACACGGTTTGGGGTGGGTAAGTAGTTTCCATCTTGTCCTCCCTTCCCCTAACCACATATCTTACAGATAGTGAAAGCAGCATGGATGCAGGAGTCATGCTGCATAGTGCCAAAATTGCCAAGACTTAGGGAAGAAATATCAGGAGGCCAGAAAACATGAAAATGAAAAGAATTTGGCAATGGAAAAATTAATAAGTTAAGCCAGTGCTAGATTGAAACAAGCATTACAATGAAAAGACTTAAATGAAATTTAAATTGCTCAGAGCATCCTAGGAGCTCAAGTTCTTAGACAGGAAACAAAAGAAAGAGAAGCTCAAGAAAGTAACATTCAGAAAAGGCTGAAGAGGAAAGGAGTATTCATCACAACTTATCAGTTTAATTTTATTTTTTTCAAAATAAAATTAAACTGATAATTAATAAACATTGAAAACTGACATTTGTAAATGAAGATTAGACGAGTGGAAACAAACACTTTTTAATGTGTACAAATAATGTAGATAACTATAAGAAATTATAGTAAAAATAAAAAATTAGTGATCCATTATAGTTGTATATATATATATACATATATATACTAATTCCTGTCTATTTTCTTGAAAAGCTTCTCACTTTTTGGTCACATTTCCTTACTATTTCTATCCAAAAACTCACTTTTCTCACTAGTTTTGATTTATGTATGTGCTGTGAGTCCTGAAAATAAAAAAACAAATCATATGTGTAATATTAAAAAAAATGAAACACAAAAGTGCTAAAAGTGATGATTTATTTTATCAAAATATATAGTTTTTATAAGTGTATATTTTTAATGCAAAGGAAAATTTTAAGCTGTAATAATTAAAAATTTTTTTATCTAGAAATTATTATTGATCCAATTTATTTTTCCTTTAGATATTTAGCAGTTGAATGGTGTACAAAAAAGGGAAAACAACGTATTTTTGATCGTGATACAATGAGAGGTTTCACTCCTAGAGTACCGCAACAAACAAATTACAGTGATTGTGGAATTTATGTACTTCAGTATGTGGAATCCTTTTTCAAGGTAATAATTCAAGTAAAATATTTAAATATTTTATATCTAAACAATTATTTTAATCTTATGTATTTTCACGTTATTATTCAAATTAAGTGATTTGAAAGAATATAGTGATAATTCTATTTACAACAATATAATTAAATTAATTTTTGTAATTTTTTAAAAACCATTATTCAATTATAATTTAAGAGTACTGTATGTATTTCTTTATTTCAGAAACCTCTCCAGAAATTTAGTAGTCCTTTACCAAGTTTGGAGGATTGGTTTACTGAAGAAAGTGTAATGCAAAAACGTGATGAATTACGGACACTTATACTTCAACTTCAAAAGGAACAGATCGTTGGAAATAATGAAATTTCTACGGATTGTTTGGCTTCGACAACAGCTCCTACATCAAATATTTGTTTACAGGGTGAAGAAAGTGAACAAAGATGAAAATATTGTATTATATTAAAAATGGAATTATATCATGCAGTCCCTGCTGCCACTACATCCAAGTGAGAATTGTATGTTCAAGAACAGCAGTATAGCACCCTACACTTTTGTGAACTGTGACTGTTCCACTAATATTGTCTAGGACTCTGCAGCAAGACAGTATTTCTTCGGTGTGTGCCATACGTGAGAATTCAAATTTGTTTATTCTGTAGACTAATGTTGCAAATTCTTATCTGTCCATATACGAGCAGTATTGAAATAATTTTCTTTAAATGCAAAAGACAAAAATAAGAAAATATATGCAAGTGTAAATTCTGTTGTTTATTTCTTTTGTATATAGACAAATTACTCAGAAATAACAGTTCAGAATCTCTCCCAACCAGCCCATTCTAGTCTTGGCTTTGTCCAGTCTAGTTAACTGTTTAGCTTGTTTTCCATATTTCTTACAAAATTGGACCTGTCATTTTAATTAGAATTTATATTATGAAATTTTAGTTTATGAAGTGTTTTTCATATATATATAAATATATAAATACATACATTTTTGTGTAAAAAAATTTACCTCAAACATTCCTGAATGACATTAGTAAATCTATTTGATATGTTTTCATATGGGAAATGTCATCAATATGAATTCTGTAATATAGATTTGCTGCTTTATAAAAACAAAAATGACTATATTGTGTGTCTTTTAGATTGATATTTAGGAAAAATCAACAGTAACTTGTTATCAAAGTACTTTTATTTGAAAAACTGTATAATTCTTTTAGAATTATGCAGTTTTTTTTAATATATATGTGTGTGTATTTAAATGCAACTTTTTTATTCAGTAAAAAGATTTTCAAATCAGTGCGTAATTTATTAACATTTATGTTATTAATAAATACAGTAATTTTAAAAGAAATTTTTTAAGTAATTATGAAAAACTTAAATCAAGTTTAATAAAAATTATTCAGTTTGAAATCAGTATCATTTTGTTAATATTTTGCATAACCTTAATTCCTAGATTGTGTTTAAAAAGTAGAAATATCTGTTTTATGAATATTTAAAAATATATTATTTTTATTTTGGTTAAGTAATAAATAAATTAGAATTGTATAATTTTGTAGTTAAGTTTTTTTTTATATTTATTTCATTTAGCATTAGTTCCTAACAAGTATGTATGAAAAATTGTAAATTTATGTATAATATTTTTATTTGAACTATTTTGCTATAATACAGCATTAAATATTCCTTCAGAAAAGTGTTAATACAAAAATATATTGTTTTTTATTTTTAACCAATTAGTAAGACACATCAATATGTTAATGAAAATAAGTCAACAGGTCAACTTAAGAAGCTAAAACTTTTAATATCTAGCATAAAATTTACAAAAGAACAAATGTTTACAGCTCTTTCAATTAATCAACATCAAGTTCAATTGATAGCTGGTAGAATAATGAACTGTTATGACATGACTACCTGTAGATCAGCCTGTTCCAATCTGCCTCAATGATGGCCAGATGGTTGAATGGTTAAGGTGACAGCCCACTACTTTGGGGATCCAGAACCAATCTGGATAGGTCAAAAAAATCCCGGGAATTTCAAGTAGTAGTCTCCTTGAAAAATGAAGACACAGAGCTTTTTGTGTACTTCACCATCAAAGAACTGCCATTTCATTAAGTAGTAAAAAAATTGGTATGAGGTGTTATGTTATTGTTTGTCATAATACAGCAATACCACATTAAATATTACTTTTTATTCATTTCCTAATGAGAAATGATTGAAAGAAGAAAGTGAATCAAGTTGTAAGTCATACTAAGTAATAAATTTCAATATATCTCAAAATAATATATATTGTTATTTTATTAATGTATAGGTGTAATAAAGTGGTTTATTCTGCTATATTTACTTGTCACCAAAGTGGTTGACAAGTAAATATAGTAGAATATGTTCAATATATTCTGTTGATAGTAAGAAGTATGATAATACAGTACTTCAATCCTTGCTTAAATACCTTCATTACATCTTGGAAGTAAATATAAGCATCCAAGTTAAGAAAAAATCACTCATGATGATATAAGATTTAATAAAGCAAGAGAGAGAGCAAATAATAAAGATTTTAAACAAAACATGGTGCTGATATTTTTAGGGATTGTGAGTCAAGTTAAATATAAAAAATTAATTTTAACTATTAAAATAATAAAATTTAGCCCAATTTTTTATTATAAGACATCACATGTACAGACTGCATGAGATTGTTGCCTTTTATCCAAGAATTATGTCAAAAATAATTATGAACTTCAAATTGGCATAAAGCCAGTAGTAATTTGTGGTATCCATAGAGGCACGTATGGGCTATTAGATATCAAGATCTGGGAGAGTGTAATATGTTCCCTCAAGTGGTACAGAACTCTCAGTCTATAACTGTAGGTCTGGAGTCATAGTTTCTTTTATTCATAATAAATTAAAATGTTTTAGTATTTTTAGTTCTGAACTATTCTATCATTCATATTAGTTTAACTTGTTAACTTATTAGTTTTTCATCTCTACATGCTATATTATATATTGCATTTAATTACTTTTAACAGATTGAATCNAGATATGAAATATTTATACTAAATCATTTCTATATATAATAATATTGGGTCATTGGTCATTACTAATTAAATTGCTTAAAAGTGCTATAATTAAAACATACTTATCATTTTATTAAGTGACATTTTCATCTTATATTATTTCTGCATTTATTTATTATATTATCCCCATCCACATGTTCATTTATGTATTTATTTCAAATCTCATTTCATATTTACGTTCCATCTTAGTGTTCTATTTTGAGTTAACTGAAGATCGGTTAAAACGATCAAAGATGATGGTATTAATGAAACATTGCCATAGGTGAGTTAGGAAATGTCTGTTTTCTTATGAAGGTCATCATTAAGAGCACATACTATATTATTGTTCATTTGTAGCCTGTGTACAAGTTCATATACAGTATAAATATAAAGCTTTTAGAAATCTGGGAAAACCTATGCAAATTTCTGAATTCCAAGACTCAAACTTTCAACATAGTAGTATGCAAGAGATTCAGAAAATGCAGTTACACTGTTATCAAGAAATATACAATGACAAAAAATTGGCATATAAACAAAGCACTTGAGAATTTTCACAGAAGAATTCTGTGAATTTCTGTAGGCTGCATTTAGTCAGCCTATAGAAGAGTGAGCATTCAGACAAAAACATTAACATTACATAATTCATGGAAGCTTCATGGCCAGACATAACCATCAACCAATTGCTACTGATTACATGAATCCATTGATGGTTTTGAAGCCATAGCACTGGTAAGTTATTTTAAAACAATAACATGTTACTGTTACAAAACTATGTTGTCCATCACTAATGAAGAATCTGCAGCTTTCAACATTTTTCTACTAGTGAGAATATTTTGAAATAATAATCAATCTCCTCACTATGTGCATTTATTCTACTACATATTGTAAATAAACAATGAAAAAGACTGAAGAGAGTTAGAATAAAAGAATTTGAAATGGTCTAACAAGCATATAAAAATGTGACCTGCATATATTTCTCAACTTGTAACATGGCCCACTCCGACAAAGATTCTCGTCACTGTTCTAAAATATAATAGTGATTTGATAATACAGTAAACTCCCAATTATCCTGGCTAATGGTGGGGAGAGGTGGCACAGATAATCCGAACTATAATTATTTATTTCTAAAATACAACATGTAGATTCACCTTTTTCAAATTTTTCAATTAATGTTAGTTTTTGTTTTATAGTATGACTTTCTTTCAATTATTAGGCATTTTAAGGGTACTTATCTGAAAATTAAAAAAATAATCTTATTTTATGTAATTTTACACTAAAAGTATTTGTTGGAGAGTTATTTGAAAAAAATATTATGTATAATATTATACATATGTACATATAATCAATTTAAATATTTTCACAACAAAATTTCAAAATGTTAATGCTAAATTTGGTTGAGAAAAAATAATTTATGGTCTTCATTACTTAAATATTTGATTTTTGAAATATTCATATTGAATTTATAGAAGAAATAATAGAAGGCTGATTGACTAAATCCATAAAGTTATTGGCTTCTCTTGGAGATTCAGATATGTTGAGTACCAACTTCAGGATGGGGTCTGATATATTTAGGTCTTTTTTTTCTTTAGTTCTTTGTCCTGTAAGCACTAAGAGGACCTTTCTTTTAGCAAGCCCATTACGGGTTTGGCCAGGCCCACAATGGTACAGCTAGATGGTGAGGAACAGGGCCTGACATATCTGGTGGATCACCTATCAAAAAATTCTTGGATTTTTCTCATCTAGATTCACTCCCTGGTCTCCCAAAGCAGTAGTCACCTCATTTTGTGCATGGCCAGAAGTATAACAGACATAAAAAAGGGAGCTTTTACTATCCACAGGACAGGAAAATAAAGAAAATAAAAAGAATAGATAAAAATGCAGATGGTTTTATACTACAGGGTATTTAGAAGGATTGAAATTATCAGAAATTTTAACATTTACATTGTAGATTTATAAAACTTAATATTAAAATTAAACAAACGTTTTCAGAAACTACATTCAGAATATTTTAAAGACTATAGTCACAAATTAAAAGATATTTTAAAAACATTATACTCAAACTTAATGAGACGTTAAAGAATTACATATTAATTATTAAAAACTATCTTGCAGTGTTATCAAGTTCAAAAAATTACAAGAAATGACTTAAAATATACTCAAANTAAAAGTATTTGTTGGAGAGTTATTTGAAAAAAATATTATGTATAATATTATACATATGTACATATAATCAAATCTTAAATTGTAATACCTATTATAACATGCAACTAAAAGAAACTTTGTATAAATGTACTCACTATTGTTTTCTCCTTCGAAAAGAAATGTCCGGCGCAAAAGAAGTGGCCTAACTAAAACCAGTTCAGCTGACTTCAGATACCCCCACCACCTGCTTCAAACATCTAAATATGAACACGTGCACTTATAGGATGCATAAACATGAAAGCGAGCAACTATTTAAAAAATACATACACATAATTTTTTTTTTAAATTGAATTCATGCAGGGATAATCAGGAGTTTACTGTACTTATTTTAACCATCTAGTCAAAAATCAAAATATAAAATTAGCATGATAAACTTTTAAAAAGTTTTGCTATTTATTACAAAATAAGAGAGATACAGTAATACCTCGACTTACGCGATTTTCAAATCTCGTAGATTCGTCTTTTGTTTGAGCGCCAAGCAACTCTTGATCACTCAATCCCCCCACACTATTGTTCAGCTTACATGTTCGGATGTGTCTCGTGGAATTGACACATAGCTACAATTTATTTTGTGTTATTTATTTCTGTATTTATTATATCTACGGAGACTTGAGAGACTCTGTGTGGTGATTTCTTGTAACCATGAACGAATCAAAAGACGAAATAAGATTAACGAGAACATTTATTAGCTTACATACATCCGACTTGGATTTTACAAAAATTGTGAAATTATACCCCGATTTACGCGGTTACCTCTTGGTTCCACCTATCGCTGTATTAACTTTGTGAAATATTATATCATGATATATGTATTGATGTTATTTTGTATTAATGCATACATAATGTCCAGTTACTAAGAAATATCTTTATTATATATAT